TTACAAGAATAAAGTCGTAATATTACAAGAATAAAGTTGCAACATAACGAGAATAAAGTCGTAATATTACCAGAATAAAGTCATAGAAATATGAGAATAAAGTTGAAACAATAGGGTAATAAAGTCTTAATATTACGAGAATAAAGTCGTCATATTAGGAGAATTAAGTCATAAAATTGCAAGAATCATGTTGCAACATTACAACAATAAAGTCGTAATATTACAAGAAAAATGTAATTTACGAGAATAAAGTTGCAACATTACAAGAATAAATTCTTAATACTACAAGAATAAAGTTGCAACATAACGAGAATAAAGTCGTAATATTACCAGAATAAAGTCATAAAATTAGGAGTATAAAGTCATAAAATTGCAAGAATTATCTCGCAACATTACGAGAATAAAGTTGTCATATTATGCGATTAAAGTCCTTATATTACAAGAATAAAGCTTTATTTTATGACAACTTTACAAAAAGCACTTTCTTCCCTTTAAGGAGGAATGTTGAGCATTATGTTATACTTTGGCATCGGTTTAACAAATAAGGAAATCTTTTAGTGCAGCAGCATCAAATTGGTCAGTATATTAAAGTGGTGCTGGTTGGCCTTCATATGTTAATCGGAGCTCAAAGCTTTCTTTTTGAAACGGGTTGTAGTATGATGACTTCATTCTCGTAATTTTTCAACTTTATTCTCGGAAATGTACAACTTTATTCTCATAATGTTACGATTTTATTCTTCTAATATTACAACTTTATCATAATTCTATAACTTTGTTCTTTTTAAAAAAAAATAAAAAAATCTCTAGCCTGGCCCTAATACTCCGTCCTAATGCGGGTTGGATATTAATTCAGAAATAAACTATTGAAGAGAACGCTAATAGTCTGAGAAGTAGCCAAATACAGGCAGTTTTCTTTCTTAGGTTGTTTTAACCTTCAAAGAAAAAAAAGTTGACATTAGCGCATAGAAATATATTTTCATGTAAGCAGGAAGGAATCTATAGTTGCATAAAAAGCAAGCTACTAGCGCAGAGAAGGAGCATGCACTCATGTTTATGATATATATTAGTGGGCTTTTGATATTGAATCTGCAAGCATAGACGTTCAAAATTCACATCTGTGGTTTAAGTAAAACTGCTCATGTCTGTTTTTATTATGTGTGTGCACTTCTGGCAGCATTTTAACTTCATATTCTAGGCGTTTTTAGATGTGCTGTTCTGCAGACCTAGATCCACATGCAGACAGTCACGGGGGATGTTTTCAGACTGGCTCACTAAGTTCATATGCAGAAAGGCGTAAACTGGTGTGAACTTAATGGCTTCCCTCACTCCTCTCACACATCATCTAACTTCTCGAAAAAAAAATTAACCTTATGGCCTCTTAACCTTAAAGTGTAAGTGCACAGATTAGTCAACAATCTTTTCATGTACTGATGGGGATACACCCTTTGTTTTCATCCTAGTGTCCAAGCTTTAGAGACGGGGAGCAGATGGTCTCTATCAAGATGTGGAATATGTTTTTTTTTTGCACTTAGTTAAGATGTAAGAGTCATACACAGCATAAATGAAGTCACCCACCCAGGCAGTATCCAGGGCTGATGTGGATCTCAAAGATGGCCACGCTGCTCCCTGCGCTCGGTCCAGCTCTACCATTAATCACAATCTATGCAAAACCAGAGGGGGTAGACGGAGGGATCAGCAGAGGAATGGTAGGTCACGGGGTTAAAGATTAAACACAGTAAAACACCCAGAAATGCAATCCATGTGTAGAAGGTTTAATATAAATTAGCTGGTCGATCAGAGGAGATTGGACCAGAACATGCATGTTTTATTTGGACATGTTTTGATATCAGCGACATTAAAAGGCAGAACCATTTAACAGCCAATGTTAGGACTCTCTGCTGAAGTGTTTATACGCTGTGGGGCCCACACATGGCGGAGGTCTGGCATCTCATCATCGTGGTCCCCCGTCCTGTCAAAGTGGGTTCTGCATCAGCTCATAATATAAACACCAGCAACAAGGTTCACACTGTGTTGATGTTATGATAAAAGTGCAGCAAATCGACCTAATTTTAGATCTATGTTGTTAATTCAGCTAAAATTTTTCTGCTTCATCCTTAAGGACTGAAGAAAGAAAGGTGTGGGGAAAATTTAAAATAACATCAAATTTGACTTTTAAAAAACACTTTTTTTCTTCCACATCATTGTGCAAGGATGGATGGATGGATGGTGGGTTGGACTGAGGGATGGATGGATGGATGGATGGATG